TTGATTACTTTAGATTTTGTAACTGTCGAACAATTAATTATTTTAGAACTTGTAATTGTCAAACAATTATGTTAAATGACAGACTTTGAGAGTTATATTTAGCTGATAAGAGTTAGTCTTTTATTATTTAAGTTATAATTATTTTTGAATAATTTTGGCCACATGTATAAGTTAGTCACTCTTGATATAATTACGTTGTTTTTTAGTTCTAGTTATTATAAAACATATAAATTTTGACTCTTATAAAGTATTTATCTAATACAAGAATATTGATTAGCTTTATAAAAAAGCAAAAAAATGTAATGAGATTGTTCGAAGTGCTTTTATGGCATGCATTGGTGCACAATATCAATCAAATCAATTTGTGTTTATAGATGAATCATCTAAAGATGAGCAGTCCATATCACGAGGCTATGGATATTCCCAAATAAATACTTTAGCAAAAAAAAAAGTTGTATTTATACATGGAGTAAGATATTCAATTTGCCCCGCTCTAACTTTGCAGGGAATAATTGCTGTTGATATTGTTAAGAATAGTTTTACAAAGCTTAGATTTAAGGAATTTATTATAAATCAAGTTGTATGTATTATGTAAATTGGTTCTAAACTTATATTGCTACTAAGCTACTAATATTTTATCTACTTGTAGTTACCTCAAATGAATCCATATCCTCATCCTAATAGTATTTTGGTGTTAGATAATACACGAATTCATCATAATGATGAACTGTGTGAATACTTACATGCTTTTGGTGTACGAATTGAGTTTCTTCCTCCTTATTCACCTGATCTCAATCCAATTGAGACAATATTTTCTTGGATCAAAAAATATTTACAACGATATCGTTACTTCGTTGAAAATTCATATGATCCAAAATATCCATTATTGGTTGCATATGCACAAATTACATCAAATATGACAAAAAAATGTTTTGAAGATTCTGGATACAAATAAAACCTATAGTTTAGTAACTAGTGTTTGATTGCATTAATTAACTAACACAGATTATATCGATAAAATGCATACAAAATAGATAAAAAATAAAAAAGTGAACACTAAACATTTATGTAGAAAAATGAACATAATTTAACAATAGACAATTTATGTACATATATACATATAATACTAAATAAATACATTTCAAATTTGAGTAGTACATACTATATAGCAATTATATAGTAATTCTTTATTATATATTAAGTAAGCATTATCTGTTTATTATCAATACAATAAAAGTAGCAACTTTTAATTAAAATAATAAGAGCATGTTTTTATTAAATATTCCAGCAGCATTATTTGTTCTCAAATCTTTTAACATTATAAGAATTTTTTATATGCATCTGTTTTATTTATAAGCAAGATCAAATTCTATTAACTTCTTTTAATTCGATGTTTGATATTTTGCTGCATATTCACGTAATGTTTGTCGAGCACCAATGGTGTCAACTTTACATTGCTCAAATTCTTTATCTGTTAATCTTTGTAAATGCTTTACTAGAATTTTTTGTCTTTCAAAATTTTTTAGAAAGTCTTAATAATAATGATCAGTTCCTTCCTTTTCATCTACATTTTTTAAAAATTCTGCCATAGAAGGTAAGGCAAAAAAGATATACGGATTAGATTGGATAGCTGAAGGTTGTAAAGAAATATAAGATAATGTTTGATAAGGATTATATGGAATTGAAAACAGTGGTGTTTGAAACAATTGAGGACCAAAGATTCAATTGCCATTATGCTGTAATTGTTGTGATGGTGGTAGCAATAGTTGTTGTGGTAAAGCAAAAGATGTTTGTATTTGTGATTGTAATGGTGATGGTGGTGGTAGTAATTGTGGTGAAACTAATAATGTTTGTATTTGTTGTTGTAATGGTAGTGATAGTAATTGTGAAAAAGTTGCTGATGTATGAATTTGTTTTGACACTGATGATAAAATTACTTGTGGCTGTGGTTGGATTTGTGGTGACAGTGAAGACAATAAAATTGGAGTTATTTGTGGTTGTGGTGATGTAATTACTGGCAATCCTGAAAAACGTATCTTTTTAAATATATTAGTATAAGAAAAGAGAGGATGTGTCAGAAGAGTTTCAATTGTAGCCAATCTTTTATTCTAAAAATGTAAATATATATTATAAATTTATATCTTAAATATATGTAAAATAAATTCTTAAATATTATTTTTATTATTTGTATACGTACTATATCTGCAGCCCATATTAATAGCATCATAAAGGTAATTTCGACATGCAAATCCTTATAATTTTCCTTATTTAGACAAGGTCGATTATAAATATTACAATGATATGCATTTTGAATTTCTAATACATTTTCAGCAATAGTCTTGTCATATGAAGATAAAGATGAAACATTAGGAATTCGATTTTTTTTATGGTTGCTTAGTTTTTCAACATCTTCATCTTCATCTGAATCTAATTCCTACAAAAATTTATCATTATACATAGTTAATATAATTATTTAAAAGTAAAAGTGCTTAATATATAAATTTAAAAATAGTTTATAGATAGTATTGCATGCATATTAGTATTTTTTGCACTGCATATTTGTACTGAATTTTTAATACTGATACATATTTATGTAATATATTTATACATTATTATTTACCTTTTTTTTGCGTTTATTTTGAGATGATTGTGTAAATGTAATATAAATTCCAATATCGCATTTCCTTGCACTTAATTTTATATATTCAGCCTTAAACTTAAGAAAATCTTGTGTATCAGCTAATTGAGTTCCGACACCTGCTTCTCTTTGTGTTTGAAAAGTTACACGATAATTATTTGGCATAATTTTTGTATCATTTGTTAATAAAATAACTTTATCATGAATAGATGAAAAAAATTCATCTATAGATAATACTGATTCTTTAAACCACTTTGCAGGTAGCGAAGTTCCATCAGATAATTTTACAAACAACTTATAATCTAGTACCAAATCAGATTCTTCATTACTACTTGGTTCATCCTGTTCATCTTCACTTTTCTCTTCACTTGTTGCAACAGATACTGAAGGAGATGCTGATCTGTTTATTTTCTATAAATATTAATAAGTATATATAATAATAATAGTAATTGTAATAATAATAATAATAAAATTACATTATTTTTTTTTGATTTTGTCATATTTGTTGCTTCATTTGTAGGGTTCAATTTGACTAAAATATTATGACATTTTCCACAAAAAGAAAACTTGAAAGGTTTTTTTAAATTTACATTATAATTATGCTCTAAAACATTTTTATGAATATATTCAAATTTTGGTGCAGCCCATGTAGGTTCATAAGAACGTATATATGCTTGTTTAACAAAGCTGGTTCTATTTTTTTTGGTTGGCACCAAAGAAATTTTGCAACTACAAGTTTCATTGCTCAAATCTGCTGCACAGTACAGGCATTTTCAGCATCCAAAACAGGTACCACGAAGGTATTTAAGTTTAGTATTTTCTGCATCAGTCATAAGAAATTGATTTATTTGAGAAAAAGAAATTCAAATTATTTTTAAAATTTTTTTATATTTATAATTGATTTTACATTCTCAGATTCTCAGATTTCTACGTATATATGATGTCAGAACACAGTAATCAAACTTTGAGTGAAGGTTTTTTAATATTATATTAGCCTGACCAGTTTTGATATTTAGAATCATTTTTAAATTTACCAAACTGAAGAATTTGAAAACAGCTTCAAATATTTAAAATAAATAGGGTATTAGTAAAGCACTGTACATTGATTAAGGTTTGTAAAATTTAAGTAAATAAAACTAAAAATTTTTATTTTGTCTAATTAACAAGTTAACATACAAATATGTGTTATACTAATGTAAAAAATTACTATATGCTAATGATATTTTTGGAATTTTTAAGTGCTAATTTGTAAAAATACATAAATAAATAATTAATATCTAGTTATTTGAAAACTTGATAATTCAACCAATTTATTATAAATTTATTGTAATCGAACTAGAGATTGGAACTGTCTAAAAATTTTCTTAATCAGTTAACTGTTTAGTCATCTAATTTGGCTGGCTTTAAAATAATTCCGGCCCATGACCAACATAATTTTGCCTGAAACTATTGAGCAATTTTTCAATGGTTAAATGGCTCTAATACCTAAATCAAACATTATAATGTAACTTCTATAGTTAATAAAAATCAAATAAATAAATAAAATAAATCAAAAAAAACAAAATTTCTGGTATTATTTAGTTAAAGTTTCAAAAAACATAGATAGTGAAAAATACAATGCTTTTGTTAATTGTTATGATATATTATTATTATTTTATGCTTCGAAAAAGACATGATAATTTGAAAATATTTTTTTTTATTTTTACATTCTCAGATTCCCAAATTCCCACATGTGTGTGATGCATAAAATTTGATGATCACAGTAATTTGAAAAGCACGATAAATAATCTTAAATACTTAAAAACACCAAATATATATTATCTATAGTTGGATATGATGCATCTGAAAGCAATTTTATAGCAGTTTCAAGTAGTTCTAGTAAGGCAAGTATATTTTAAAAATTAAATTAATTTATTATATTTAGTTTATAATATATATTTATTTAAATTATTATAGATTTTTTATATACTAAATCTAGACATATTAAAATTTTAACAAATTTTGATTATGGTTGTTCTCAAGCAGCTTTTTTAATATAATTTGCTAATAATTGAGATGTTGCATAGTTGGTTTAATTAATCAAAATTAATTGAAGTTAATTGAAGTAATCTTATATAAAATTTTACAAAAATTCATTAAATAAAATGTCTTTTAGAAATTAGAGTAACTATATATAAAAAAAAATAATAGTTGTTTTGATCTAGATTTTTTTTGTTATAATTATAATAAGTTATAGCAAAAAACTACAACTAATTATAACAAGCTACAGCTTTTGTTTATATCTTTAATAATAGTAATTTTATACTTTTAAATTTTGTTATTTATTACAATTTGAATATAGTAAATAAATAGATAAGTGGTTTGCAGCAAGTAGATTAAGGACTGTTTCTATTTTTTTATTTTTTGCAATATATAAAAGGTGCTATTTTACCTAGTTTTAACATTAAACTTAGGCTTATGATAAAAATTTTTTTAAGTTTACACAGTTTATATAGGTTATTACAGAGATGAATTAATACTTTGATTTTAGTCATTAAATTCTTGATCTTATTTACTAAAGCAGCAACTATTTCTAAGCCTTTGTTTGCAGCCAAGTTGAAAACAAGAGTAGCATATTTATAGTGTAAAAATTCTAAATTATCAAATTCATTTTGTAGCTCTTAGGTGATTAATCTTTTACAAACAATTATAGCTATCTTGTTATCTGTAATAAGTGCTAGTGTTTTATTCTTGATATTAAAATGAGTAAGAAAATTGTTAATAGTATTTAATATATTTATTTATATATGTCTATTATTAAATAGTATAATATTCAGAAGAAAATAATATAGTTTACAATTAGTATTAACATAATGAATTGTCACATTAAGAAACATTGTTACAAGGCTGTAGCCTTCTTAGTACAATACAACCAAGTAACAAGGTCACCCAGTACAGTGATTGACTATTGCAAATATATACAGGGTGGAGGTGTAGTAGTTCATTTTACTACACAGCAGCAGACAAATGGTTCGAGATAGTAATAGTATATAGATTAACTTTTTATTAAATAAACACATAGTGACAACCTTGCCTGTAGAAATTACCCTAAAGGGGAAATATCACTTTTTACAAGTTAGGGGTAAAGGTAGAAGGGTTTAGGTTGAAGTATAAAAACTTAGAATTGGCAGAGAAGGGTAAAAGCTACTCTTTATATATATTTTTACCTAGTAGGGATAGTGGAGATTCGAGCAACATTACTTATGGGGGTTCAAACAATATTAGATATTATTGTAGTGAAGGTTTGAACAACATTAAATAATACTGTGCTTGGGGTAGTAGGAACTGTACAGAGGCAACTGAGGATATTGTTTATATCATTTGTCATTTGTGCTTGAAACACTTGGGGCTTGTGTTTAGGCACTTGGATCTATGCAAAGGCACTTAGGATTTGTGCAGAAATACTTGGGGTTCGTGTGAGGACACTTGGGGTTCATGTTAGAGATACTTGGGATTCTTGTGCTGTGGCACTTGGTACAGTAATTTGGTGCTAGGATACATAAAACTTGTATAAGAATTTGTAAGACAATAGTAACATCACAGATGTTACTCAGTGTTATGTGGCTGTACCACATTTTTAATAGCCAATTAAGATCCTTTTATCTATCTACTATATAATATAACTATCAACTAACTAATAACTAATA